TACACCGCATAATGTCACCCACGCCACAAAATATATCGATGTCACTCTGCATTCTGAATCAGCATACAAGTGACAGGATCGAGATGAGCTTTTAGACGCCACATCGGCCCCCAAATGACACTGCCCATCAAGACCCGAAGAAAAATCATTCATTGTACACAGAAGCAGCTGTATGCTCGATCGAGAAATGTCAGACGGACTAAATATAGGTTTAAAGGGCTCATATTACACAGTTTTTTTTTTCTGTTACAGTGTTGTTTCCTCATCACAAACATACCTGGAGTTCTTCTTGCAAAACAAAAACACCTTGTGATGTCATGGGGTAATACAGGATTTCTCCACTATGTTTTTAAACGCCATACACCTTTACTTGAGCTTAATGTTGACAGACTATAATAAAATCTTAGTCCAGCATGTGTGAACTCCAGGTATGTTTTTGAGGAGGTAACAACATGATAACAGCTTCAATTTATACTTGTATTTCCTGACTGAACACGGGCAGCAGATATGTACAGAAGTTATGTTTAGACTAATAAAAATAGCTGACGACACCTTTATTTTGTTAAATGAATGTCAGAAAAATAACTTCCTTGTCCGTAAATTGTCCTAATTTTGGGTGGAATTTTCAGTGTTGATGACGTAGGTACGTGCATTCTGTTTAAAACTCACTAGTACTTCCTGTATTTTATCTACCGTATTTTTCAGACTATAAGTCACACATTTTTTCATGGTTTGAGTGGTCCTGAGACTTATCCTCCAGTGTGACTTGTATATTAAAATTTTCACAGACATAGGCAATAGGCGCTCTATGCTTGTGTGTCAGTATCTGCTACTCCTACTACTCCTGTACCACTGTCACTTCACTCTACTGCGCATGTCTACTGCAGGAAGAGTAGGTGTCTCATGTCAGTCCACCATTTCTTCTGTACCACTGAAAATTTAAGCTAAATTATAAAGACAACTGAGAAGACTGAACACAAATGCCGCCAAAAAGATTACAAGCTGAAAGTAGCGAAATATGCAGCTGAAAACAGTAATCGAGCAGCAGAAAGAAAGTCTGGAGTGAGAAACTTGTGACAACCAGGAGGGTATGAAACTTTCCGGGAAGTCACTGGATGGATCGACAAAGCCTGGACTTCAGTAACAACCGAAACCATCCTGTCAAGATTCAGAAAGGCCAGAATAATAACTAACTGGAACTGATGCTGAATCCGACGACAGCTACGCAGAAGAGGAAGCACTGCCCCGTTTCCCTCTGGAGGTTGCAGAGTAGCTCAGAAGTGACACCGAGGATGAAGAATGCAATGGATTTAGTGATTTGGAGTGAGATGGAGAATTTGATAAACTTTTTTTTCTTCATTAAGCATTTTTGGCTGTTGTGACTTATACTCTGAAGTGACTTATAGTCCAAAAAATACGGTACTTTTTGTCTCAACTTTTTTACCATTAACAGCAACTTTACTGATATAAAACTATGACAAATATTTACCACAGGCACTACCCGACCAAAGCAAGTCATAATTAAGAAATCATAAAAACCTGACATATGTAGGCTGCTTTAATTGACCCGTTTTAAAATAGCAGTTTTGTAACATTAAGAAAAAGTACATGTTGTAAATTCTAAAGTACGTGACTTTAATTGGCCTACTTTTAATGGTTGAAAATGCCAGAAGCAAATTTTTCATTTATTTCAGATGTTTATTTCAGAGCTGGGTTTAAGCATTTGTGAGGACCCGTTAAGGACATTTCCCTTTTCAGAAGATAGAATATTTTGTTTTTAATTGGGTAATTGCTATGACTATGGAAGATTGCCATAGCTTGAAACTTTTCACACAAAAAAAAATAAATAAATAATAAAAGTGAAATAGATAAATAAAAAACAACAACAACAGTATAAAAGCATGCTCGGGCGGCTATGTGGTACTTATAAAGCCCCATTCACACGTGCAGCCTGACCTGGGAATTTACTTGCATTTTACCAGAACATGTGTGAATGAAGCCAGAATTGATTTCCCTGTATTTTTTATTTTCCTGGGTAAATTACTGGGAATATAAAGAGAAAGATTATGTGTGAATTAAGACAGAAAATTGCCAGTACTTCTTGGTTTCCTTGGTTGCGGGATTAATTTTCTTGGTTACGATCTTATTTTTCTTGGTTACGAGTTTAATTTTCTTGGTTATGACCTTAGTTTTCTTGGTTATGAGTTTAATTTTCTTGGTTATGAGTTTAATTTTCTTGGTTACGAGTAAAATTTTCTTGGTTACGAGTTTAATTTTCTTGGTTACGATCTTAGTTTTCTTGGTTATGACCTTAGTTTTCTTGGTTACAAGCTTAATTTTCTTGGCTACGATATTAGTTTTCTTGGTTGTAACCTTAGTTTTCTTGGTTACTACTTTGGTTTTCTGGTTACAAGCTTGGTTGGACTATATCATCACAGTCCATTCTCATTCACTTTAAAGATGCAGCAGCACTTGTATATATAATTCTGTCACTGAGATGTGTGAATGGAGATCATTGCTGAGTGTTCTAGTATTTTGTACCCACCAATTTACTGGGAGCTATATGTGAATGGGTCTTTATACACATACAGTGGTATTCTGATTGTATACTGATAAATAGTCTACTACAGTGCACATACATTATTCATATGTCAGTGTGCCAGAGTGTGTGGCTGCTTGTTAGACTATGATCTGAGTTCAAGTTGAGTGGTGCTAGCTTGTACATCTGTCTCATCTGAAAGAGTTCATTATCACATGGATGTTTTATCCAGGCAGCGTTCCATCAGCTCTACAAATGAGGCATCCGTTTGAATCAAAAACACATTTCACTTAGTTATCTAGTGTCTACTTTATATCTCTCAGCGCAATGGAAGCATGTTATGAAGTGGAAACAAGAGGAGTAACCTGGTTTCACATTATTGGAATGTGCGCATTGCATGGCAGAGCACTGTGCAGCTTTTAGGCCTGAGTCCCAGCTGCTATTCAATCCAAAATTTGTAATTGCTAATTTTTAATTTTTTTTTTTTTTTTTTTTAATATGGACTGTAGTACCTAGTCTGATTCATCAGCCGGTTTCACTTTGTGGAAACTGTCTGACCGCATTGCAGCACTAGGATTTTTTTGCTCGATGGTAGGCAAGTACTTTTTTAATTTAACCAATCGCTGCTATTTGGTCTTGACGTATGTAATGTGCCAAATCCTGTAGGAAGAAGGGCAATACCATTTTTCCCCTTGATAAAATTCACCAAACATTCTTTGTTCTGGCTTTAAATCCTTGATCTCGGGAATTGTTGCCTGCACAGAATGTATGGCTTCATATGGCTTCCACCACGACTGCTTTGTTTATTGTTGTGCTGAACCACAAAAGGGACCCAGACAGGTGCTTGAGTTGACGTCATGGCTTCACAGCTCTTCACTGATTGGCCAGTACGTGGTCTACAACTTCCGGGGTTTTTGCAAACCGTCTAGTGTATTCTGATTCCTGACCTTGTCACTGGAGAAAAATGAAATTGAGCGAAGGCACTAGGTGGCGCTCAGCCTGGCTAATACTACCTTTGGTCACACCTTAAAGAGAGGGTATGATCAGTGGTGTAGTGGGGATTTTTTTTAAGTATTTCAGAAATATTTCAATATTTCTGCTGTGACCCATCACCCACCACTAAAAACATGTATCACATATATTATAGTAACAGAGAACTAACTTTAAAAATACTCAACATATGTAATTAAACATCAAGGCATTTCCACTAAAATCTACCTTGACAGAACCATTTCACTCAGCACAACTTTCCTTTCCATAACTGATACTGTCTTGTCCATCAAAACACAGGGATAAATATATGATTACAGATGACTTCTGAATTCCCTTTTGAGTGGAAGTTTAGTGATCCGGGAGATAGCGCGTCATGTATAAAACTGTCAGGTGCCATCGGTGTTCTGACAGGTGAAGGAGGGTGATGGATGCTCTGGTGCCTTGAGGGCCGTGTGCGGAGGGGCCCAGATGAGAGGCCCCTGGTTCAGCCGCGGTGACAAAATCTAGCGCTGTGTGACAGCTAATCCTGGTGTGTGTCATTAACAGTGGCACCAGCCCAGCGCTTGGGTAGACACAATGCAAATATACTGTGATGGATGGGGAATGTAATGCCAGGTGTAGTTTATTAAGTCCAAGTGTCAGGCCCTGCATGCAACTGTTTCATAAGGGTTTGAATGGGAGGAAGAGGAGAGAACATGGATAGTGATACATTAACTGGCAGCACTTTTATAGCAGAGTAAAGTGTGGTAATGGCATGGAAATAGCCTCAACGTAAAGAGGGGGTAATATGTCAAATAGATTTTTGCTCGATTTAGCTTTCTACCATGTTATAATGTTGCTTCCTCATCAAAAACATGACTGAAAAGGTTTTAGATGTCATACATGCATGTTTCAGTTATTTAGTGATCTGTCCTTGGCCCTATTTGAACCCTTCTTGCAGTTAGCAGTAAGATTCTTGTGTGGCCGATCTCAGAAGGTAAGCAAGGCCGGGCCTGGTTAGTACTTGGATGGGAGACCACTGGGAAAATCAGGTGCCACAGTGGGGCGCTATTTGCAAAAACTGCCCTTAGGCTACGTTTATATGATGACGGTCTGAACATAACATGCAAAAGTGGCGTCGCGTCTTCAATTTTATTCCGCTTTTAGATGAGCGTTTCCGTATCCGCGTACATACGGTGACGCAAAAGTGTGTTTAATTCGACTCAAAGTGAATTCCCAATCTTGTTTTATCTGCCGTAATCAGGCTGCCGTGGTTCAGTGGTCAGAGCGTTCGTCCACCAGGCCATTCCATACGATGATCATGTCCATAGGCAAGACACCTATTCTTTTATTGAAACTGGAGCTGGAATTGAACTGAAAACTATCCACAGCCACAACGTGAAGATATAGTTGCTAACTTAATGGAAAAACAAGTACATATTTTGATTGAACTAGCTACTTCTAAATGCCATGTGTTTTTCTGCTGCAGGTGATCAAACAGGAGGGTCTGTCCAAGGAGAAAAGTGACTGCTCTTTATTCGACCTCCTCAAGTACAACGACATGAATGATGATGAGCACCTGACCAGAGAGGAGTTCTACACTGCTTTTGGTATGTTCATATTACTACAATACTGCTATACTACAATAGTCCTGACAAACATTACGATTGCGATTAGATTTGCCATTTCTAATGAAATTTGATAATGTCAGAATCCCAGATGGGCGCTGTTATCAGGAGATTATGGTTGATAAGTATTGACTCCACAGACAGGTGCATAGTTATGTGATAGAATTGTAATAATATCAGGATGGCAAAGGAGAAATTAAATTTGTCGACTGGACAAAAGTTTATTTGGTCGAATACGTTTCACAGCTCATCCAAGCTGCTTCATCAGTTCCGGTCAGAATGCTGGTGGACACTTCTTTATCTGCCTGCAGAGAAGGGCTAAATAACTACTCTGAAACTAACACACCTACTTGTTTACAGTTTCTGTTAGTAAATTTAGGCCTATTGAACTGAACTGAGTGTGGGGTCTTTTTAGCATAACCATTCAGGGCCATAATGGGATTCATGCCTCTGGACCTACACCTATTGTTCTCTTGTTTGTTTTGATTTAGGTTTGAGGATGGAGCTGTAAATAGGAGATATATAAATAGCTTCTTTATCTCCCCTCTAAAGTCAGCTCTTATCTCTGGCTAAGATTTGTAGCTCACTGTCGTCAAAGGAATGACCCATGTTTTTTAGGTGGAACTGTACTGCAGACTCAGGTCCACTGTTGCTCTCTCGTCTGTGTTGGTACATCCTCTGGTGAAGTGGCTGTTTTGTTTCTCCAATGTAGTATGTATGTAGGTAGGTAGATAGGTAGTATCAGGATGCTCCATGTGGCATCTTCACGAGAGGCCCAGACAAAAGAGACCATCAAGATTTATAGTTTATGATAATAAGTAGAATATACATATAAGGCAAAAGTGCATATACAAAAACAGGAGGCAGCTGTATGTGCTCAAATAAAACAGGGTGTGCGGAAATGTCAGTTGTGTATCGTTTAACAAAAACATGAACTCTTATAGCCACTGGAAACTCCCTTATTGTTGCATTGTTGCAAATCTAACACACACCTGAATCATGAGAAGAGGAGCATTTCATACTTACAGGTGCAAGAGCCAGAATTGTCTTACATTGTCAGGGATGCACCAATCCAGCTTTATCTGTTCCAATACTGATGACAATACTTTGACCTTTGCATATCCGCCAATAACCAACCAAAAAAAATCCAAATGTGTTTTATTATGTTATGTTATTTAAAATTTTATGTAACTACAGAACAGCTCTGAATAATATTACAAGGTGTTTGCACCAACAATGTCCAATAAATCATCTTATTACACAAATTTATCGACCAAAATAGGATACTCTGAACTGATATTGACTGAACCAATATCCGATCCATCAAAATTTCCAATATCAGCGCTGATATCCGATGAAAGTATTGTATCAGTGCATCCCTAAACATTGTATTGTGTCATGAAATATCCAAAGGTAATGCTGAAATGTTGAACTTGATCATTTCTATTAGTGACTTAACCCCAAACCTCACTATATTATAAAAAAGACCTGCATTTTAACATGATTTTACCTGCCTTCATCTGTATTAAATATTATTGGCCTATAGATTGTTGTAGTTTTATATGAAACTAAGAAATGGTAGGATTCTGTTGAAAGTTCATTTTAAACACAGAAGAAATGACACAAGACTTAAACTAATACAAAGACTTATATTAAGACAAAATAATACACAAATTGCATTTCAGAACGTGTTTGTTTAACAGGGTTAGCAGTTTTTATGCAGAATAAGGTAGAATATTTTGTTGTTTATGGAATAAATTAAGATACTTCAAAGATGACAGCCTTTTTCCATTTGCTAACAGCGTGTATTCAAATAGCAATTTTCGATTTGATTACGATTTATCTTGTTGCCCTATTCCATATTATTGAATTCTACGTTTCATCATATTCAATCATGCTTAGCTTTGGGGCTTCAATATTCAATATGCTGAAGACATCAGTACCTTGCACATTGCTTTGATTATAATATTAAAAGGGCGCTCTGTGGATTGTAAACAGGCTGGTAATTAGAGAAAAGTTGGTATCATTTTTGTTAAGAAGTACAAGGTCAGCCAACTAAAGAAAAATATGCACCTTTTCTATATGATTGCAGTGAGAAGCAGATGAAAATGGCTCCTGATTTAACTTTGATTTATATATTTATATATTATTCATTTTCTTTTTCAGTGAGTCATCTAAGGTGATGGCGGGAGCTGGGAATAGGGTTGTCAAAAGCATTGAAAATCAGATGCTAAAACAAGATACTCATATGAACAAGTATCGATACTAAAAAAGTCACATTCACAGGACAGAAATGAACCTTTCTTGACTAGATTTAGAATGATCTTGAGCTGTATGAAGTATGAAAATGGGAGAGGAGGATGGAGTGATTGATGGTGTCAAACGCGGATTCAGAAACTGTATTGGGTATCGAGTCTATTCCTTAGTGTCAAATTAGGCTGCGTTCAGACTGCAGCCTGAAGTGACCCAAATCCGTTTTTTTGGCCCCTATGTTCCTGTATCTGATCTTTTAATGACAGTATGAACGACACAGATCCGATTTTTTTCAAATGCGACCCAGGCCACTTGGATATGTGGTCCTGAAACCGATACATATCCGATCTTTTGACATGGGACTTCAGTCTGAACGGCCAAAGCGCATCCATCCGACCTACACGTTATCAACAAGCCACAAACGTCACTATTCTGCGCTGAAGTAGGCGAAAATTGTTTATGAACTCCGTGTCACTGAAGCGAAGCACATCACCACTCACCACTTTTGGCTACGTCTGCGCACATCCACACGTTCCTTTCAACGGACATCGCTGCCGCTGTCCAACAAAACGCCATGGCCAAAAACCTCGTCCTTCTCCTTCTCAATCTCCTCCTTAAAACAAGTAAGTTGTTCATGTTCTGGCTCTGGTACAAGAGGAACTTTAAAATCGCCAGGTGCTCAATGCTCGCGTCCATGTTTGTACAACTTCTGTAAACACAGAGCACGCTCGCTGCGGTTGACGTCGTCGTGTCCTCCAGTGCACATGCGGGACATTTTTGGGTTTACTCTTCACACTGGAGATCACATACAAGTCACATTTAATTGGAAATGTGAACGACCTCGCAAAAACATTGGATTTCACAAAAAAATCGGAATTGAGCGTTAAGCCCTGCAGTCTGAACGTAGCCTTAGAGTTTGAAATTTTAGAATCTTGAAAACAGCATAATTATTTAGCAGAGACAAAATCAGTACCAAAAAGGATTCCTCGGTATTTGCAGTTGTGTCGAATCAGATGAGGTAATGCCATGGTGGAAAACTGGTTTGCACTCTTGTCTCACATCAACAAGGTTCCTGGTTTTGGGATTGTGTAGACTTTGAATATTCTCCTAATGTCTATGCACCCAAATTAGCGATAGTAGTCCAATACTCCAGTAAGGTAATCTTAATCTTAATACAGTTAGCATATACATGTATTTGAGCAGAATACGCCCCAGTACATATACAGTATATTATATAAGCAGTTCTTAATTGGTATCTGCGCTGATACTGTGAAATTTGCTGAATCAGATACTGGCTTCCAAATATGGGTTCAGTCAATATCCTGGTTGGACTAATTACTGGTCATAGTTGGCCCGGAAAATCTCAGTGTTTTTTTGTTTTGTTTTGTTTTTTAATTTACACAGTTGTTCTGTCATTACTTGAGAGATAAATAATGGTTCCATCACAAATTTGGATTTCATTGTATTTTATTTTGAAGGAAATAAATGCTGTTTTCAGACTTTGCACTGGTATTGGCTGATATAGGGCAGTGTTTCCCAAAAAAAAATTTTCTGGGGACCCATATTTTTAAAGTCACAAACCTTCACGACCCAAGTCAATAGACATTATTCGTAATTCACAAAATAAAAAAGGATTTGCCCATTATTGAACATTAACGAGGATATTTTATTGTTGACTGAGTGATCGTGTCTCTGAACAGTTAGTATTATTCAAGTTTTAAACAATGAAAAACAGTAAATGAACCAGCAATAAAAGGATCCATAAGGCGCCTATTTGAACATTAAATGTAGTCTGTTTCTTTTTCTTTTCAACCAGCAATACTGGAACAAAATAGTCAATAAAATAATTACAAAAAGAATAGAAATTAAACAAAACATGTCTTCACATTTCAACATTTGTTCCAGTCTGGGCTGCAGGAGGAGAATGCAACATACATATCAGTGCCAGAACTGTATATTGCAAACCTACTTGCAGATCGTGACAAGGCGACCCCAAAAAATAAAAAAAAATCTAGGCGACCCCGTCTTTGGGAAACAGTGATATAGGGTATTGGCAGATACTTAAGGCCATAGCATTGGAATCAGTGTTGGGACAGAAAAAAGCTGGATTTGTGCATCCCCTAGCTCTTGAGGTCAAAACGAGACAGCTGTGTATTGTCTGTGTCTAATTATAAAACATTTTATTGTCCAAGAATCTGGAAGTAAACAGTTAGCATGCTAGTTGTTGTTTGCTTTACCATCATAACAAACCGTTGAAAATAGTTTAAAATGAACTGGTTCTGTTTTAAGACTGCAAAAATCCTCTACAACACCGTTAAGTTTGACATCTTCAACTCATATCTGTTGTTGAAATATTTTTTAAATGGTATACTGAAAGTTATTATTTACTTTTTATTACATCTTTAACTTTCAAAAGTGCTCCGTTGCCTGACCTCTCAGACTTTGCTTTTGTGGGAATGGGCCTTTTCCGTAGTCTTTGATTGCGCTCAAAGTTTGCTCTCTTCAGATTGTTGACTGCTGTTGTTGATTTAGACTGTTTGATGCCACGGTGTAAACACAGAAATCAGTTCAGAGCCGAGCCTCTGCCAATAGAACAAGGTCAGGTTTCTGATTGGAAGTCATGCTAACATTTCCCCAACCTCATTAGCAGACAGAACAAAGCCTCGCTCCTGTTTTGAGTTCATAACATACATGTTTAGTTTTTTAGTTGGCCCCAGTTAGGGCTGCAC